TGGCCTCAGATAATTTTTTCTCAAACTGAACTTAAAAAGAAACTTTGATTTGCAACCAATTAATCAACAATTTAGACAAGTGTCTTGAGGTTCTCTGGATACTAACAATGTTGTAATTTAATTTACAAACATTTTTTTTTCCCCTGTGCGTACACACTGTAGGGGGTATTTTCAAAGTAGTGCTCAAGGCTTTAGACATATCCCACTGGCTTAATGGAAATTGCATAGTTTGGCTTCCTTTTTGACCCCGGTCAGCTTTCGCATTGAACAACAACAAAGAAAAGATGTCAATGGAGGGGTGCTAGTATGAGAAACTTCCAAGTTTCCATTAATTCTTTAAAACTCCATTGCCAAGTCAGAATAACAATTCACAGAGTGAAATGGAGAGGGTCCCCTCCATGCTGCTCCTTCTCAGGTAATACCTGTGAAAGGCTAGGCTTGGCGGCACGTCTCATGACCAAAATGCATCATACCAGGCTGGATGGTGTCTCTTGAAGCTAATCCACAGCAGAGCTAAAGACAAAGCAGCCCACGCAGAAGTCGGTCTTCTCTGGACCGTATAGTGCAGAAAACGTGAAGTATCATTGCTGATTAGGTCCAGGCATATTTTTGCCTCTAGTTTCTCAAGCGACTGGTCAAGATTTGCCTTTGATGGCCCAGTGTGCTACAAACTGCCTGTATGAACCCTTCCTCTCTAACAACAACTAACAGCGAGTCTTATCCTCTGAGCTTGACACAAAGCTCTGGTTTCAGAGGCAAAATTCTCTGTAGACTGTAAAGCTAATGACAATTGCTATTATTTAGGAGTTCAACAACAAGGCTGCATGAACAAAAGCATGTGTTTCTTAAGTAGCTTACACATTAAGGATACTCTGATATAGAATCTATATATAGAAATGACTTGGGTAAGATTTTCAAAAACATTGAAGTAATATAGAAACATTAATGAGTTTGAGGGAACTTTTGAAAACCTCATCCTAAGCACACATTCACTTTGTTTTTCTTTTTAATCTTTGCTTTTTAAACACAAAACGGGGGAAAACATAGCTCTGCAATACGCAACAGAAGACCAGGATGGCACCAGAACTTACGCAATTTGGCTTCTTCTATGAGATTAATGTCCTTGAAATCTTTCTGCCAGTGACAGATTTGACTGAATTGGTTGAGGGATTCAATATTTATTAAGAGAGACAGACAGACAACCACGCGATCACACAAGTCATACTTGCGAACAACAAACCAATCAGGCAACCCAACACGCAGGTGTGCTGAAAGCTGCATTTCTAAAGCCACCCTATTTATATAACTGCAGTGCTCCAGCTGAAGAGCCAATAATCGATATGCAAATACTTTGCAGGAGAATGGGAAAGTCAGATGTGATTGGGTAGCAAATACTAAAACATAGCTAGAGAATTTTAGCGGTCACGGTATCCTATTTTAATTTTTTTTAGAGATCCTAGTTGAGTGTCAGTATTAGCAAACAATTAAGTTTTTAAATAATCAACTGAATTATCAAAAATAATTAGAAGAAACTAAAAAAGCATAGTCTGATAGCTTAAATAAAAATGGCAAAAAAAAGGACGTGGGTTTCATGCACCTAGCTAGTTTTCTGTCTACCTGCAATTAAAATGTGAGCACTTCCACAACTACCATAGAGATCCTAGTGCAAATGAGATTTGTCCTTAACTCTTGAATTCCCCAGGTTCTGTCATCTACCAAGCATGTATGGGCGCTGAGCACTGTGGTGCTGGAAGCTATGGGATTCATTTTACACTAGTGAGCATCTGTTGAGTCAAATCCCTGTGATTTACCAGACCCCTGGGGAAGAGCTTTGCCTACTGGGGCCAATGAACTGCGGACTGGTTGGTGTGAACGTCCAGAGGAAGAAGTGGCAGCAGTGCAGAGGCACGGAAGGAACCCAACCCCTGTATGTAAGAACAGGCATTGCAAACCACACAGTGGATAATTTAAAACCAAGATGGGTGGAAAATACTCTTCCTCCTATTAACTACATTGATTTAATGATTAGTGTGTCTCCAAAAAATATATTCATGTTTACTATCCTATGTAAAGGTCATGTACTCAACCACCATTCTTAAAATTGAACTCTTTCCATGGAAAACACCCCTGTCTTTTTCAAACGCTTGTTTTCATTTGGCAGGTGAAGATGCTGAGCCAAGCCTGTCATTGTCCCTGCTACAATGAATACCATTTAAATCTGCTGCTTCAATACACGTAAAGAAACATACCCTTCACCTGATGTATGCCCTCCAAAGCAACTGACCAAATTTCAGCTCATCAATTTAATATGAAGTCAATTTAACTCTGCTTGACCAAAAATCAGTGCCTATTGTTCCAAAACATGCAATCATCTCACAGTATATTGCAATTGCTGGTTAAGTGGCTTAGTGTTATTGATAAGAGCCCACTCTGATGAGAACAAAGAGGACTGCCAGAATCCCTTACGAAAAATAAAAAAAAAGCTATTTTGCACGCAACTTTCAGAAACGGTTTCCAACGCATGCTCTGTGGATGGGCTGTCATAATCAAATCTTTAGAAACGGATTAGAAATGAGCATATTATTCTTGATTTACTATCACTTCATTTATGATTTCCAGTTAATACAGATCCACAAAGCCATGCCAAAGAGATACTAAAGGCCTGATTGTGCTATCCTAATTCAAGCAAAACCCATACTCAAAGTCTTTTTGAAGCCTTTCTCCTTCTGCCAACTCTTGCAATTTTTATTGCAAGCCTTGCAGTACTTGATGTTTTGCTTAACATTCCAGCTCCTGGAGTTATACAACATGTGAATCTCCTTTATTTTCAATTTTAGAAGAAGTTTATCGCCTTCATGATTGAATAGAAAAACTTGCAAATGAGACTTTTTAAAAGCGTCAAAAATAAAAGAGAAAAAGAAGAAAGAACTTAACTGCATCATTTTGCTGAATAACTTCATAAAGCGGATGATATTCTTAGACCAAATGAATGATTTCTGAGCCCCAGTGCATACTTACGGCTCACCAAAAGTTAGCAACACATAGCTGCATATTTTAACTTAACAGAAGTCTTGTTCTTGTAACACTTAAGGTTGGGAATTTCTTTTCGTGCTCATAAAGGTACGCAAAATTTTGAGCCTCCTCCCGTCCAGTATGGGAGGAGCGGAGGACCTCTCCCGCAATCCTCAGCTCCCGCGCCAGTGGCCATGGGTTCCCCCAAGTGTCAACGGCAAAGCGAGGAGCAAAGTGGAGAAAACCTCTCACCGACCACCCAACTGCCACCAATTTTGCACCAACTGCCCAACTGGGACAAACTGGGCAGCCCAGCCCCTAAATTGCCTGCTCCAGACTACTGTAAGCTACGCGCTGATCCTACAGGACAACTCTAGCTCGGGGGCTGCTATCTGAAGAGCTTGGATCAAAGACCAGGCAGTAAACTATCCCTCCCATGATGGCTGTAAATCTGCACGTTACTTGTTAACACTGAAACAACGCAATGCTTTTTTTTTATTTCCCTCTTCCTCCCACCTTCTAATTTCCTTTTTTTTTTTTTTTTTTTCCTCCTTACCTGATACCTTTTGTTTATTCTGTAAGCTATTTGAGGCAGGGGCTGTCACTTCCTATGTGTTTATGCAGTGCCTTGCATGAAGGCTGACAGCTCTAGATGCCACTATAATCAAAGAGAGAGGGGGTGTGTGGGATTTTTAAGGCACTAAGGAAAATGAGGCATTCACCTACCATTGACATTCAATAGGCTTTGAGTACCTTTCTCCCCTTTGAAAAATCTACATTTACAAGTATAATAATTAAGATGCCTGTCATCACCAAAACATCCATTGTTAAAATATGACACAGCCCCAAGTAGGGAAAACCTTCATTTAGAGCAGAGGCACTAACAAAAAGCATTTTTTTCTTTCAGAAGCGCTAAGACCTCTTTTGTCTAAAATCATGCACAACAGTATTCAACATACTTTCTGGAAGTATCATGTCTATCTTGTATCATATATTGCATTAGTTAGATATCTGCTGAGAAACACACACCCCATCAGTTTAAGCACTAACATTGTAGATTTTTCGAAAAGAACATTTCCTATAAATAGAGATTTAAACGATCTTTAAGTATTGTAATTTTTAATTGAATTCAATACCTCTGCAAATGGAGCAAACAATCTCTGACTGATTAGATCATTTGCTTCTCTTCTATTTCAGACATGCACTGGTTTGCAATAATGTAAGGTTTACTCATTAGCAATTGCTGTTCAGCTGCATATTTTCTTCAGTAACCTAATTAATGCTAGAAAGGTAACTTTTCTTCTTGTGCATTACAATATGTCAGTGTAGTTGACACTCTTGCAGAGGTTATATATAAATAAAAATCAGAAAAAAAATGTAAAGGACAAACATGAAAGGGAATGCAGAAATTAAAAGCAGATTTTCCATGAGATGGTGAGTGACTTCATGTCCCAGTGACATCAAGATGGAAAGCGATTACTCAGCAGGATAGACCCATGGGAGTCCTATGGGTCACTAGCAGAGAAATTATTACATGCAGGTAGAATAAGAAAACAGGTATTAATTAAGAGAAGAAATTATGTCCTTAATTTGATTTAGTAGCTTCCTAGGTCTGAGTTTATTGCATGAATAACGTAGTATCCTGCAAACAAATTTCAGCTTTGACTTTGGGATGTTATCAATCTCTTCAAATCAAATCACAGGCCTGATTGCAAACTGCGTTCCAGTGCAGTCCCTGACTAATTAAGTGCATAGTCGTAATGACAACAGGGATCCTACCAGGCAGGATGTTTAGACATAGCTTAAGCAAACCACTGTGTATTATTAATGGCAAGAAGGGCTCAGTTATAGACTCAGGATGCCATGTGCTGTAACGGCATTGACACTGAACGCTTTCCTCAGAAACGTTGATTTCAGGCTCTTAGATACAGAAATATTTCTGCCAAGGTGTTTCAAATGGGCTGCATCAAGGACTCTCATCAGCCAGGCTAATAGGTGAAAGAGGTTGATCTAAACCTCCAGAACGTGCTTTGGCGAGATGCTGTGCACCTCTGGATGCTCCCGGAGCCTGCCTGAGGCTCGTGACTGTGGGACATCAAGGAGCAGGTGCTGACAGCATTGCGGTGTAGCCAGCCCAGCCAGGAGGAGACGAGGGATGGTTGCGTTGAGGTCACTGCTCCAGTGGCAGCGAGGCGATCTAAATAAATTGTGTAGATGCTCTGATAAAGTCGGTAAGGGCCACAGCTTATTTCAGGCACCACAGTCTGGAAACAGAAGATCTGTGGAAGACCTTTTCGTCTAATCGTCTCTTTCCCCTCTTCAGAAAAAATTGTACCTCACCGTAGTTGTTAGCTTAAGAAACTTTTTTCTTCCCCTAATATGCCATTGGAACACCTCAAAAAGAAAAATCTTAGTGGCTAGACATCCAAACAAGCGAGTAAATCATACTGGGAAACATTCCTGGAAGCTGAGGCCAACGGGCAAAGCAACTATACCAGTAAACTCCTATCGCCCACAAATCACGCAAGGTGCCAACTGGGAATGCTCTCTGTGACGTTCTTCCTCCCAAATTGTGCCTGGGAGTTACCTGAGAGAGTGGCAGAGGCCAAAAGCATGCTGGGAACTGTTAGAACAGTTTAACTTAGTTTAATTTTAATTTAGTAGCATTAATTTAGCCCAGATTCTTCCACGCTGTGAGGATGTCCTGCACTTTTAGATGCAGATCTTCCTCTGTGCAAATTTGATGAGGTCTTACATTTCATTGCTGCAAAATGCCGAGATCAGACTAGGTGGATAGCAAAGTGGGAGATCCTATTTAAAACAGAATTAAGAACAAAGGAAATGTATTGCCTATTTAATAAAAACACTGTAGTTTACTACAATCATCATTAAAAGAACTGCAACCTGTGATCTACAATGGATGCCTTTTTTTGGAGGCAGCTGGTTCCATGTATCTCTAGTTGGGTTTTATTGCCCCTTTTTTCTTCCCCCCTTTGGATTCTCATGCACTTCAAATAAACAAGGAAAATGCATAAACCCCATGTTTATTTGAAAATACAAGTCAAAATGTTTTTTTCAAAGCTCACTTTTAACTTAAATGTTCCGCTTCCTTATACAAAATAACAATTTTTACTTTTACATCACTGTAGTTTTCAATCCGTAGCATAAAGTGTACCAAAATACTACAGACAGAAAAGCTGAAGTGTTGAGTTTGATGCCCCGATCAAATTCCAGCTGTGAGTTGAGGTTTTACACAGCAAACAGGCAACTTGACCTCATCCTCCCAGTCTAATCAGCATGTTCTCCTCCATTCTTGAGAAAATTAACCTCATTCATCACGTCGTGCTCCTGTTCCTCCCTACGGCTCGTGACACTTGCTTTGCTCCTTGTGCTACTTCTGGATCTCAGAGTGCAGCTGTCACGGCTTGATGGCACAGCGGGTGCACAAGCAAGCACGTGAACCAAGTAAACATAGGAGTTTTTAGCAGTGTAGCTTGTTCTGTTTTGTTTTTGGTTGGTTGGTTTTTTGTTTTGGGTTTTGTTGGGGTTTTTGGGGCGGGGGGCGTTTAGGCAGAACAAATATAAAAATCTTCTCTGCCACAGAAACGTCCTCGTAAGTTTTAGGTTTTTGAAGTAAAAGTCTGAATGCTGTTACTCAGGGTATCCACAAGATGAAGGGACTTAATTCACTCACCTGTTTTTCCCCCTCCTTTTCCCCAATAATTAAATTCCCCCACATATTATACAGAGATCCTGACAAAACCTGAAAGCTACTAAATATATCACTAAATTCATGAGATGCAAATAACCTCAACAAATAGTAAACAACAGCCTCCAGACTTGGTGCCTGAGCCTCCCAGGGTGCAGAGTGCTCTTAATTCCCTCTGCTGCCACTGCCTCTTATGCCCAAGATGATGATGAGTCATGGGACTAGAGAAACTGCTAATTCCTTCTTTTCCAGCCTCTTCCAACTTTTTGTCTTCACACCTCCTTCCTGTTCCCTCTTCAAACTGGGTCTCTTTTCTCTAACTCATGGATAAAGTGACCACTTCACTTCATTACTTCTAATTCCAGATATCCTGCATTCCTACACTGAAAATAATCGATGTAAGTCATCAAAGGAAGAAAGAGTATTTAAAAATATGCACCACTATGAAGATGGATGACAGGGTAATAAAACTCAGCACAAGAAAAATCTGAACTGGTAAGTTTGCCCAATTTAGAAGAACAGCAAAGTCCTTCCTTTCCCTCTAAATGCTGATCAACATCGCATCCATGAGCCATGTACGGTACAGAACTTTTGTCTGTAATTCATGCATTTCTTCAATAGGAACAATTTCGTCTGCAGAGTGAACACGATATAGGAAGCCACACTCAAAGATGGGAAAATATTTGCAAAAGGCGAGGAAGCCGACTAACCTGACCAATAGGTTCTTTTGTCGGGGTCTTTCCTCTTCTAGCGGTGCTTGTGGCCAAAGTGGTGGTTGTTTCCATGACTGACGTGGACATCTCAGACTGCATCGCTGTGGCTGTGGACTCAGTTGTCATAGAGGAAGGCACTTCACCAACAAGTCTCACATTTCCTTCTATCACGATGTTGGCATCATTTTCTGCTGCCATATTCAGAACTTTCAAGCCATTGTAGTAAAGACCAGAGAGCTGGCCTTGGAAAGGATGGCCACGTTCCTTGCCTCCAATTTTTATGGTTGCTTGGCTATTGAAGATTGTGAGCTGACGCCCTGTGAAGATAATATTATATACATGCAAAAATGTTGACTGTGAACACTATACACAAGTGATAACAGATTTTCATGGGGTGAATAATGGGAGCAATAAACTATAAGAAAAGGATTTGACTCATAATTCATTGCTTTTTAATGAGGTGTCCATGAAATGCATAAATTTTGAGAGCATTTGCATTTTTCTTAATTTACAATGTTTTAGGATTTTTTTTTTTTTTTGCTAAAAGGCCAATCAAATATATTTGCAAATGTGTTTAGTAGTACTACAAATGATACCCCTCTCCCGTTTACCTGAAAGCAGTGTTAAGCTTTTTGGTGTGTGTCAGGAATG